ATAAAAGCCCCAGGTAGTTGTACACTTGCTATAAAGGCAGGCCTGATCAAGTCAAGAGATAAAACTTAGTGATCTCCAGGAGGGAAGGGACTACGCCAGATTCTGTCACCATCACATCCTTAAGCGCAAGAGCACCGTACAAAGTACATGATCTGCACTCAGTACCTACTTGTAGAGAAATCTTGTGGAAGGCCAATGAATAAACAACCACCTGAGTAAATGAGTGAAAGATCTGTTTGTGTAATGCCCCCAAGAACATCACGGCAAAGGCAGCCTGGACAGAGTACCGGCCGGCACTCAGGTTCAAGCACCGTCAGGGAATGTGTATCCCAGCTCTGTTTCTCATCAGCCTGTCCTTGGACGAATAAGTAACTTAGCCTCCTCAAGCCTCAGTTTCCTCCTGGGATGGACATTGCACACATGCCGCTCCGATTACCCCACAAGGAAGGACTTGCTTCCTCCAGTTAGCAGGTCCCCTAGATGCTGTCTCAGACCCGCCTCACCTGATGTCATGCCCTGCCTTCAGACACCCACTCTGATGACAGATCTGGATGGGATATGAAGACCCTGGCCCCTCTGGCCAATGAACAGCAACTCTGATCCCAAAAGTCCCGGTGAGGTCAGCTGAGGTCATCATCAGGCTGGCATCGCTGCTCACCATCTCCCTCGGTCCAGGCCTGCTCACTTCCTCTCACTTCCATGGGTGTGGATCCCAAAGGCACCCCTTCCCTAGTCTTAACTCTAAACTCAGACCCAACCTGTGACCCCCTCATTAGCAAAATGGAAATAATAATGAGTACATACACAGGCTGTCATGAGGACCAAATGAGTTGCTATGTGTAGAAGCACCCAGGTTGTAGCAAGTGCTGGACGAGGGTGAGCCAACTTTATTAAGGGCGTTAGTGAAGCCCAGCCCTTCATCAGTATCCCCACCCTCAATGGCCAGAAACCAGAGAGAAAAATGTCAAGATGTCCCAGCTTGATCTGTGGATAAGAGGAGTGGAAGGAAGGAGGGAGGAAGGAAAGAAGGAAAGAAAGGAAGTAGGGAGGAAAGGGATGTCTGGACGTGGCCCTGTGTGCATCCCTTAGACTGGCCTCCAACTCACCCCGCAGACACCTCTCCATGGAGACAGGTAAATCAGAGGACTGGGCCATCAGGACCCCTGCAGTAGATGAGGGCAATACCATGATGGTGGTGGCACAACCCTGGAAGCAGGCAGATAGGCGGTAACACCCAGGCCACCACAGCCGACCACCATGGCTAGGTCCTAGCAGCACCACCAACCCCCAGCCCAGAGCCAGCGGGAGGATTAGTGCCCCAGACTCAAAGATGGGAGCCCCGAGACCCAAGAAGTGAAGATCAGCTAGAGACAGAGTAGCCAGTCTCCTGCTACCCAGAGAGCTGATCCCCTGCCCCCTTCACTCCCACCAACAAATCCATGAACCGTGAGGGAAGTATCTGGACCTGAGTTTGCAAGTGCCTCCACTGCTGAGGGAGGGAAGGCGGGAGGGAGGGTGTGTTACCCTTACCAGGACAGCCTGATGAAATATGGGTTGACACCCTGAGGCCTAGAGAGAATTTATTCCTGGACCCCAGCACTTACAAGACCCTTTAAAGCAAAGACCACCGCTGCTCTGTCACAGGCGACGAGGCTGGTGTGCAAACAGATCAGGCGGCAGCCAATGTCACACAGCTGGCGGGAAATGGAGCTGGGATTTGAGCCCACGTCCGATCCCAAGGCCTGTATGCTTTCAACCACTTAGAGTTTTCCCATTACAGTTTCCAACAGTAGGGGTTTGTTCTTTGGTTTGTTTATTTTGTTACTTTTAAATATGAAAGCGTGCCAGGAGATTCAGGCGCAGAGTCCAGAGCCTCATCACGCCCCCTCCCATCGTCCACCCCGATTCAGCGGGGGCTCCCACCCCCAGCTTCAGACATGGTTCCTCCCTGCCCTTTATTCTCTTTCAGGAGCCGGCATCCAGGAAAGCCCTTTCTGATGCCATTTACTCATAAGGATCTCAGATCCCAAGGGTCTAACCCTCATGATGTACCCAGGCTGTGGGATGATCCCACGCAACTTGACAGTATTTATTAATTTTGTACATTGAGGTGAACAATGGCACTACAGAGGGAAATTCAGTCTCAGTGGAGCACAACAGAAAGAAGTCAATTATCCAGCATTAATTATTTATCTGGGGACAATAACCACGGTGTTATTCCCCACAAGAGAGGCCTCTGCAGCTTGGAACAAGAGGAAGGAAGAGGTCTCAGCTATTATCTGTCCATAATGCAGCATCAGATTGAACAAATGAACCCCTCTGACATCCTGTAAATACATATGAGCCTTCGTCGTGAACGTGGCCCACGCACATGCCTCCAGAACACAGGTGATGAATAGGGTGGTAGACAATTAATAGGATTATATTCCCTCAATGTTCTGTGTAGGCCTGGCCCAGCTGTGAATACATTAAAGGAAATGCACCTTCTCTCTGCAGCCCACCCTGCCCTACTGGAATTGTCAGTTTAAAGACAATTCTAAACAAACATTTTTGCAGGTTGCAGTGTTTGCGGAATCACATCAGTCTGGGGTTTTCCTCCCAAGGTATTTGCTGACAACATCGGCTAGAAAGCCTAAAGAATAATAATCTGATTTCTAAATCATGTTTATGTCATTTAATTTTCTTTTATCCTGAAAACTTCTGAGGAGCTTGGAAGAGAGAGATCACTGGTTCCCAAGGGCTGAAGGAGTGCCAGGGTGTGATCTCTCTCGGCCCCATCTCCTCTACTCTGGGGGGCTTATTTTTTATCTAAAGACGTTAACATTGATTGAGCAGTTCCTGCCGGGCAGGTGCTTTATATATATTATCTTAAATTTTCACACCAACCCAATGATGTAAGTATAAATATCTCCATTTCTTAGATCAATAAACTAAAACCCAAGGTTACAGCTAATAAATAGCAAATAGCAGGACCAAGAATAAGTTGCAGGGGAGTGGGGGGGTGGTCCCAACTCCTAACTGCTGTTCTAAACTGCTTCCCCATGCCCAGCACAGGCTCTGGTCTAACCATCCCAGAACACATCAGTTCTGCGGAGGGTCCCAAAGCCTTATTGCCACAGCTGCTGCTGCCCAGCTGGGTACACAGTTTCCAGCCTACTGCCTGGGCAGGATGGGAGATGGAAAGACTAAGATTCCTCTTCCAGAAGATCCACTTTTTTTCTGATTATAAAATATTAGGCTGTTGGGAATGTCTGTCTATGATTTCTTATTTTCTCAATGAGGTCACCTGGGTGTCCAGGGAAGGACTTCCAAGACACCCATAGGCTGAAAGTGAGGGGATAGAAGCAGATATTTCCTGCAAGTGGAAATGACAAGAAAGTGGGGGCAGCAATACTCATATCAGACAAAATAGAATTTAAAACAAAGGCCATAAAGAAAGAAAAAGAAGGACAATATTACAATGATCAAAGGAACAATATAAGATGAAGCTGTTACACTCGTTAACATATGTGCACCCAATGTAGGAGCACCTAAATATGTAAAACAAATACTAACAGACATAAAGGGAGAAATGGAAGGGAGGGACTCCTAGAAGATCACCTATGTGAAGAGTCATGGCTGGCCTCTGACACATGGGGACACTCGATAAACAAGGGCCCCCCTAACGTAGTGCTCACTGCAAGGAAGACACTTTGCATATATTATTAACTCATTTAATCCGCACTTCAACCCTATGATGCAGGCTATTACCCCCATTCTATACATGGGGGACCAAGGAGCTGATGGGGTTGAGGAATTTGCACAAGGCCACACAACTAGTCAGAGGTAGAGCCTGACGTTGAAGCCAGGCAGTCATGTGTGCAAAGCTGACGGCGCTTGCTCAGATCATGAAGGTAAGAGCCAAGTCCCAGTCTGAGAACACACACGCACCCTCACAGGCGCATCTCACCATCTCTCGGCGCTTCCTCGGAGTCCTCATGGAAACACATTTGGGCCTCCACAGGGTCCCTTATCCTCAGTGTCAGGCCACACGGGAAGTTCTTAACTACATTTCTGACAGTGTTCCCAGCCCTCAGTCACGTGCACCAGTATGTCGTATTCTTAAACCCCTTCATAACAATGGCTCTGGGGGAGCAGACAGATGCTATCATAGAGATTAACCCGGTTCCAGTAACTTATAGCACATATTTAATAAATCTTTCTGATTTTAAAATCAACACATAGTCTCCCCCCCAAAACCTTCAAAACCCAAACAACATAGAAATGCATAATGTAAATAAATTGAGACCCCCTGTAATTCACGTAGGGGGTTAAGGACAGAGTAAAGATTAAACGTTGGTGATAGACCTAACATAGAAAATGAAACACTACTAAACACTCTGCTTCTGGTCGGGTCTCCAGGACCAACCAGTCAGAGCTACACCTACTCCCTCATCCCTTCCACCCTGGAGCCCCCAGGGTCCATCCTTCTCAGCTCATCATCCAGGCCACACCTGCTGCTCAGTGTATCTCTCCCTCCCCATCCCCACACTGCCAGCTCAGGGCAGCAAGTGTTTCTAAAGATCAGTTCCATGCCTACTTCTCTCCCTGGTGCCCTGAGAGAGAGACACCTAAGGATAGACTGATCCCTTCCCGGGAGGCAGCTTCCTTCAGCAGCTCCAGCCTCCCAGTCAAGGTGGGATCAGGAGCCTCCTCGGGGGTTCCCTATCTTAGCAGCACATCCCGCTTGACTCTTTTCTTTATTGTCTGCCTGGATCTTAAACTGTAGCTCCTTGGTGGCAGAATGTGGCTGACTCCTCAATGCCCCAGGGCCCAGTTCCATTTATATTTACTGAGTGAACATGGCATCCCTGCTACTTTATCCTAAGATTCCTCCCATCCTGCCCCCAGCCCAGTGCACAGAGAGATGGGGCCACCTGCAGCCTTAGGATCCGGAGGTTGGGCCTCAGCCAGAGTCCAGCAGGGCAGGCCTGGCCCTGAGACACAGCGGTAGGACTTACCGCTGGCCCGACATGGGGATGGAGTCCAGGTGGCGGCCTCCAGGCAGCGCCATCATGTTGATGCCAATCTGCAGCAACGCCTGCCCACAGCGGTCAGGGCCCTGGAAAGAGAGGGCAGGATGGGGTCAATGAGGGCCCCCAAGCAAGGAGGCGCAATCATTTTCTCTCCTGAATCCTGGTCACAGGGAGTCAGCTCATGTGCTGAGGGAAGGCCCCCCTGGCCTTCCTCTGTTGCTTGGACCAGTTTATACTTCACTGTCCCCACACAAGCAATGCAGGACTCAGATCTGATCTCAGTTCTAAGTCCCTAGCCCGCTATGACCTCTACAGTCCTCTTTTGTCTCATTGCCAAACACTTACTTAGCCTGTTTTGCTTTGTACCAAATACCAGGACACACAGACCAGCAAGCATTGCATGGGATATACTTATACTTGAAAAGAATCTGGTTTATCTGAAATTCACATTTTACTGGGCATCCTGCATTTATTAGATAAACCTAGAAACTCCACATGCTAATTCCCTAACTGTCTACTGCCACAGCACTGCTTTCTTCACGTTGATTATGCCTGGGAAATGTGAACTGTAATGGGCATGGCGGTTGCTTCCCCAGATCCATTCCATTTTAGATGATGTAATTTCACCCAAACTGCCAGGAAATGTTTCAGGAATAGACATGTGATGCAATTCAAGCCAATGAGCCGTGACAGGATTGCTTCTAGGAAAAGTTTTCTTTCTCCACAAGCCACAGGGTGAGACAGCATCTCTCCCATTGGACCTGAACAAGGAAACACATCCCTCCACTGCTGCTGGCGACCATCTTGCAACCAAGAGAGGACCTAGCTGGAGTAGAAAGCAGGCACACAGAGGGAAAAAGCCTGGGTCCTTGACCACTGAGTGACTGAATCAACCAACCCGAGTTCAGCCCGCCTCTGGGCTTCCTGGTATGTAAGATAATAATGTTCTTGTTGCAGTGAGGATTTTGGTTCTGTACTCCCCAGAGCAGCCTGACTGATAAAGGTGACCTCAGTTCCAGGGGCCTCTCATCCCAGCACTGAGGACCCACCTGGGTTGCCTGTGCCTCACAGGTTAGACCAAGACAACAGTGTCCCCCTTCCTCCATAAAATCAGCTGCCCCCTGTTTGTCTCCCACCTTTCCGTCCTTTCCCCATGCCTCCCTCTCTGCCACCTCCTTCTCCAAGCCAAGGAAGAAGCCCTCACTGAGGAGAATGGAGAGTCTGTCACCTTCACTTGAGCAAAGCAATAGAAGGAGAGGGCTGACTGTCTCACCTGTCATGTCCTGGGCTCGAGGACAGCAGATTTCAAGACATTCAGAGAACACACAAGTATGAACTTGTGGGAGGAGATAGCTGAGGAGGGCAGCTAGACAAGTCTAGAAACATTCAGCTCTTACACTGTGATTACAAGTGACCCTTAAGAGAAAAGAACAGAGGAGGACTTTAATTAATAGAGATGTGGCTGGACAGAAAGTATCCCTTAGGCTGCTTGGGGGAGAAAAAAAAAGAGTGAATCTGAAAATTATAGGGAGGCAGGAGCCCAGGATAAACGAGGGCTTTAGAAAATTCCAGAGACTCATTGCTACTGCTTGCTCCCTGGTCTGTGGGCCCCACTAGACTGTGAGATCCAGGAGGGCAGGGACCACTTGGTTTCAAGGGCTGAGCACTTAGCAAACACTTGATATGTCTATAGAGATAATGAGTGAGATGACTGTTTAATACATTATGTTGAGCCCTAATTCTTCACCTGCAACTGAGAATAATAATATCTACTTTACAGAGGGCTATCATAACAATGACACAAGATAAGGAATGTAGAAGGGTCAGGCCAGGGCAAGAGCTAAATAAATAGTCATTATTATGCGCTGAGAGTCTGTGGTGTGTTCAGCCCCATGGTCAGCGTTGCTGGAGGAGATGTGGAAAATTAGATAAAGCGTATAAAGCAGCCAGCACAATAACACTGCTCCACGAGGCTGCATTATCATCAGGAGTAGCACGATTTTTATTACTTTCATTATTTTCATTATTGAGAAGGTATATTTCTGGAATGCAGTGAGTCAGCAGCCTGAAAAGAAAAGGGCATAAAAGAAAAAAGCTGGAAGCAACAAAATGAGGTATCTGTTCCCTATTCAACAGGTTTGACGAAAGAACCAAAAAGGGAAATACCGACTTCTCACGGTGAATGCTCTGATGTGATCAGGGAGCAGTGAGCAAGCAGATCTTATTTTTGCTCCATCTTCATCATCTTTTCATCATGGTGAAGGAAGTGGGCAGAGTAAAAACAATGAAGAAGGAGTTAAAGCTTAAGGCAGGTGACAGCAAGGAAAGTGTAAGGATACAGGAAGCTCCAAAGCTCTTTTGAGTGTGAATCAGTTAGAATTTTGTGAGCACAGCCTAGAATACTGGGGGACCTTCTGAATCTGAAAAAGTCGTATCTGAGGGACCCCGAGAAAGAGTGAGCTGTCAAGAGCAGAAGCCTGAATGCAGGAGAATGTTCTGAATTTCCAAGAGGCAGATTCCAGAAACATAGCTTGGTGACCACAGAATCCCAGAATAATTCCTAATTACTGATCTGAGCCCTTCCAACAGAAGCCAGCTGGAGCCCAGCAGGGACAAGTCATACTCAAACCATCTTCTCCCTTTTCATTAGTGACCACTGGGCTTTTAGCTGAGGGGGAGGCAGTACACCGAATATATCTGGATTTTGTTTAAGAGCCTGGCTGATATGGCCTCGCTCCTCCACTCCATCCCCAGCTCCCCAGCAGTGAGGCCAGAGGAGGCCACCTGCTAACAAAACCTAGGTTCGTGTGATTGCATGTGTTCCCAGAGGCTGGGGAGGCCACTCGGGGACATCTGGGCTGCATGGGCATCACTGCCCTGTGCACGGGCTGTATTATTCATGCCCGCCTCTTTCCCTCAATGGGACAAGCTCCTTGATGTCTGAAACCGCATCTTGCTCAGTGTGGGACTGGGCGCCTACATGTCGAAGCTGGGATTGTGAATCAGACTGGCTCTCAGAAAAGCCTCAGCTCACATTCACAGGTAGGAGAGAATATCTGAAGGGCGAGATACGAAATGTCAAGAGTTAACTCAGCTGATGTTTGTAAAGTGCTAATAATAATAATAATAAAAATAATTGCTAGTATTTTTTTGAGTGTGTATTACATGCCAAGCATTGTTCTAAATGCTTCGTCTAGTGTTAACTCATTCAATACCATCACCATCCCCTTGTTACAGACAAGACCTCTGATACTCAGTGGAAGTGCATGCACTGCCCCAGCTCACACAGCCGTTGGGTGACAGAGGAACAGTATGCAGGTTTTATGGTAAGAGCGGAGGGGAGGTGCTGGAGCAGGTGGAGATAATGAGAGCAACAAAAGTGACACAGGTCCAGCATTTGCTACCAGGAAGCCTGACTTCTTTCCACGGGGGCGGCACTGGGCCCCCACGCTTCACAGACAACCAAGCCCTCTTCCGTCTCATCAGCGCCTCTCACTGCTCCCACCTCCCAAACTGTGAGTCCCCCTGCTTCATCCAGTGTCAGCCCTCAATGACACGCCAGAGAGCAGATGAGTCCTCGGGAAAATGAAGCAGCCCAACGCTGCCCCCAAATCACTGGAGAAAGAAGGACATAGAGGGTGGGCGCATCTCTGTTTCTCACTGGTTGGTTCCTTCTGTAAGTCACAGGATTTGAGTTACAGGTCCTAAAGAGATCAGGGGATGGGAAACCAGCCCCAGCTAAAGCCTACCTGTGCAGAGACCTGTGTCAAGCGTGCAGTCCTCAAGGAGGCCCCCACGGCCTGCTGAGTGGCTACCCTCTCCCATTGCCTTAAGCCAGACTCATCCTGTTAACAGAGTCAGAGCAGAACCCCTCCAAAGCTGCACAGCATGTAAGAAAACCAAGAATGGATTCAAGGTAAGCCCTTTGCCCCACACCATCTGTCCTCACTGGTGTTGCAGAAGGAACTTGAATTTTGGAGTCTGTTAGATCTGGATTCAAATCCTGATTCTATGCCTGAGTACATGATCTCGGGCAAAGCATCAACCCACATGAATGTGGCTTCCTCAATTATACCTGCCTCCCAGAAGCCTCATGAAGATCAAATGAGATCACTCATAAAACTCCTCAATGGATAACATAATATAACACAACATAATTCAAAATAAAATATCCTGAGTTTGGCACGTGGTAGCCTCAAAGGGAGTATCTTTCCTCATGGAAGGAAGAGTAGAAAAATATATCTCAGGGCAGAGATGCTACTTGCCCATGAGAGAAGTGAAAAGGACTCGGGCAGGAGTGAGCAAGAAAGAGGAAACTCCATCACCTCCACCCCTCTGCCCAGGGGCCTTCCTAATTCATTAGAAACCCCACCCTGCAGCCTGCAGCCAGGGTTCTGCAGGGCTCTTGGCTGTTTCTCCCCAGCCAGGAGTGGCTAGTTTGTAAGAAGGACTTGAAGCCTTACATGTCTCTGCTTTAATCAACACCTACTAGGACAACTGCTCGTCTGGAGAGCTCATTTCTGATCCTGCATCCCATCAGAGGCAGCCCTTGCTCACCTCCATTTGGCTAAGGAGCCAGCTTGGGCTCTGGAGGAAACAGAGGCTATTTACAGTAAATTATTCAATTAGAACCAGAAGCAAGGGCAGCTTCTGCTCTTGTCTAATGGGCCAATCCGAGTGCAGCTCTAGGCAGGGCTGGGACTGTTTAATCTGCAGAACCCATTAGGGCTGTCAACAGGAGCAGGACAGTAAACACTGTGGGAAGCAGTTAAACTCCAGCCGCAGCAGTAGAGAGAGGAGCAGGAGCGGGGGGGAGGGAGGGCAGGAGAGGCAGGGACCTAGGGATCCAGTCAAGTCCCTCATTATATGATGTCCCTACCCCCTCATTATTTCTCCTCGGTAGAGTTAATCACAATTGTAATTAAACAATTAGCTGTGAAACTGGTAGTTTAACATCTTTTTCCCTAGAGGATCCCAGGGTCGGGGACTAGGTCTGACCTGCTCACTGTTGCATCTCCTCCAATTCCCCACCACCCCTTCCCAAAACACGGCCCAGTGCTTAACGACCAAATCAATTAACACTTGC